GAAGTATTAATAAATCAAAATTATGAATAAAATAGTTATTCATTACTGCAATCAATCATTAATCTTTTTTCGTAATTGTTTAAGCTGAGATGTATTAATAGTATTTGGTATCAAATGTTAAATAAAAAGAAAAATTTCTTTGAAAAAAAAAAAAAAAAACTGAAAGCTTTCAGATTTTACGTTACGCCCATAGGGACGTTATCTTAGTGCTTTGTGTGTTACCTTTATTTATTAAATATCATGGTCTTCGCACTTAAACCATAAAATTGAATTCAACAGCCGTATCGCAAAATAATTTTAAAATGAGCATATCTTCAGATTTTTCGATACACAGTCTCGCGCGGTGAAGATAAAAATTTTTTTTTTCTTCTCTCTGTACAGTGTTGGTATTTCTCTCTTCGAAATCGTTGAGTTTGTTAATCAAAAATTCGTTGAAGTGTCACAAAATATAAAAACGTTAATAAAACAAATTCCGAATTTGGTTTCCCAGATTCCCATATTCGGTGGAAGATTACGTTATTTGAAATTGGATGGCTCTAGGTACCATTGCTTTATCACACTGCGAGAAACATACATACATTTATGTAGATGCTTCATTAATTTCTTTAAATATAATTTAGTAAGATTAATTTCTTTAAATATAACAGATGTATTTGGTGGTAACAATTTGAAAAGTTAGCCGAAAAGTTTTCAACGCAAAATGAAATTAATAGCCCTTCGGGCTAGTAATACTTTTGTAATATTTCTTCTGATCAGAAAAATGGAAGCATTATCATTTGACATATTAACTTATATAAACATAAAAGTGTTAACATATTACTATTCTGCTATCTGTTGTGTTCTCAAATCGTTTTGTTTACCTGTATTTTTGAATGGCAAAAATGCGCTTACTTTACTTCGAAAATGATCCTTGCTCCATTTATTTATTATATTTGCATTTAGCGAATTTACCTTCGCTTACAGATAATGGGATTTGTTTGTGAAAAGGAAAAACTGAATAATCTCATTTCTGCCGGATAGTTTCCTATCTGCATTTTATTAATATGATGCAAATGGATACTTAATCGTTTTATCTTCACATTTTTATGATTTGCCATTCTCAGAAAATAAAAATAAACTTCCGTTTTATAACATTATTGCTTTGCAACTTTATGAGATGATATGCAGCACAGGAAAAATCTGCTTTCTTCATATTTCGAAATTATTCATGGTGAAGAAAGTTTTGTTGGTTGTTAAAGGTAATTTATATCCCAATTTTCAAGAAGTAACTCAATAATGTATCTCGTTGGAGTGGCTAAAATTACCAGTTTTTTCTTCCCATTTGCTTGGGGGCAATTTTATTGACATTTGTTGTCAACTTCTTTGGCTTTTGTTTTGTTTGATAGTTAATGGTAACATCATGTCCAACATACAGCTCCCAGAAAGAAGTAATAATTAATGTACAATTCACAGCTGTTTTTGTTGCTGATGCTCACTTCCTTAACCGATCAAGCTTCCTTGTGGCAAGGAGCGAAAGTTTTCGCCTACAAATAGCAACAGCCGTGAGCACCATACGGGGGACAATGCGATGCAGCTCAGTTTCGCCCCCTCCCAATTTTGATGGAAAGAACCCCGGGAAGACGGGTCAGAGGGTCTCCCATGCCTGTTCCCCTACCACCAACCTCTCGAGAAGACTTTCGGTTCGTCGCATACTTAGGGTGCCCCCATGCTGCACAGATGCTATACATCTACAAACATCAGTGCCTTCTCCGGTATTGGAGCCCGGGCTTTTCGGTGTAGCATGAGAGTTCAAGTGACATAATAATTTAATGAAATTTGATCAGAATATGGAATTTTTCTACGATGTGTTGACAAGATATTTCTCAAGAAAGTTACAAACATCGGTTAGAGGCAGACATCGCGGAGAAAACAGTGCAATATCGTCATACAAAACATCGTGGAAGAAAACGAGAAAACATCGTAATATAATACACCGTCGTAGAAAATAAAGTCCGCTTAAGTAAATTAAAGTCCGTTGAGTAAAAAGTAATTTCAAAATTGCAGGACAAATTCATATTATTGAATTTTTGTGGAACAAAAGGGAAAAGCAATTCAGAGATGCAGTGGAAGAATTTTTTGTAAAAATCCGTTCACCTGACAACAGCTTTCCCCCAAATTCGTTTCCTAAAAATGACTTAAGCAATGTTATTAGAGTGTTAACCTGAATTTTTTTATTTGATTACGGCGACGCATACAATCGTATCCAGCAAAATAGAGATGCCTAAGTGAAGGACTTTCTAATGGAGACTGACTTGTATACTTGTCGTACATAGAGGAAACTGCGAAAATGGCCATGCAGCTAACACGTTCGCTGAGATTCGAATTCCGGACAGAACTACTGGTGTTCAGTGACATTACCCCTCGGAGGGCATATAAGTATTCTGTACCGCGCCAGGCACTTAGGAAAAAATCCAACCTTGTCATTGGATATGGCTTCCGATGGCATCATTTCCTCTACGCTTAGGAACGCCTTGACTTTGCTTGAACTACAGGGTACACCTCCATACTGTTTGCTTATATTTTGATAGAAGTACCGAAAAGATTATTATGTGCGGTGCATTTCTGTTTCTATAAGATTATATTTCTTATAATACTGTAGTGTGATGAATTAAATATTAAAAATGTAGTGGTTTTTTCCCTAGAGAGAAAAAGTATTATTTTTTTCTTGTGCTAACTCCGAAAATGTGTATTAATATTAAGTGCAGAAATTTTTAATAAATGTATTCTTAATTTAAAACCTTTCCCATGTCTTGAAAGCGCGACTCAGGATATATATATTAGATTTGTTGTTCTAATATAGGTATTTTGACACAGAAAACGACTTTGTGAAATAACATGGTATTTTTTCTTTTTTTTTTCGTATTTCGATTCTACTTCTCAAATTATGGCAAAGTTGTACAAAAATCGCACAAGTATTTTTTTTTAATTAGGTTTTTAATTAGGTTTAATAGTTGAATTTATTATATATTTATTACCTTTTTTATGAAACTTATTTGATTCATCTTCCAGAATTGGAAATTTAGGTTCATTCCAAACAAAATTCGCCCATATTTTAAGAACGACTTTTTAAGATTTGTATTTTAATATAATTTAATAAATTTCTCGAAACCAATTTTAAAATATAATCTTTAAAATTTTAACCGTCATCTTAAAGTAGATGTATTTCTTAAGCATACCTTCAAAGAATAAGAGTTTTATATTAAGAATTTCCTAAGATACACGTGAATTTACATATTGGAGCGTTTTGAAATTTAGCATGCATGTTATAGGCGATAATAATGGTAAATGGGTTTAAGCATTTTGTTAAAATTATTTAAAAATATGAACGATGAGAATGAAAGAAAGGAAAGGAAAATAGGTAGCTATAAGTTCGCCAACTGGATTAATAATGGCGCAAACTGAAAAAATGCGCCAAGATAAATTTTAAAATTTCTTCAGAAATTCCTCACCAGAAATTACAAGATTTCATATTTAGCCATAATTTGAGTCGTAGAATCAAAATATGGAAAAGAATTTTTATGGCATTTCAGAAAAAGTCCGATTTTGTGTCAAAATACCTACATTAGAAAAATGCTATATATATATATATATATATATATATATATATAATATACATCATAAATCGCGGAACGGGACTACGGGAACTGACGAACGGGACATTTAGAACTGTCCCATTTTTGTGTGCAATGTGTACGTGATGTTGAAAATATAAATGTAATAAAGAAAGTGTAATAAAGAACAAAGATTATGAATTGACATCATGCAGTCAGACAGGTGGATATAAATGCAGAAAGAAAACTAATTAAGCGTAAAATGCTTTGAGGTGTAATAAGCGAGACAGCATTCTCCCGTCTAACCTCTCAACTTAATTAACTTAGCCGATGTCCTCTACAAAAGCAGGTCATTCAGATATTTTCAAGCTATCTAGTCCCAGCTCTCACAGTTACAAATAATCATTATATACGTTACGAGCACCTAACCAACAGTTAATCTCGGATATTGGCTTGGGCAAACATTTACATTCGACCACTATTAACTGTAGCATTTGAGATGACAGTTCTTACTCCATTTGGTCTTTAATCGCTGTGTGCGAATCGTTTCATACCTTGAAGTCTGCTTCAAAATTGGCTAGAAAGTTTTAACCTTATAATTGTTTAATATTAGATTTTGATTAATATAAATACGGTTACTTTCCCATACTGCAAATTGTTTAAGGGGCAGGAAAAGGAATTAACTTTTTCAGCAAAACTTTTGTTTTATTTAATGTATTAATTGTTACAATGAAATTGCGACAATTGGGGAAGGAAGGATGGGGAAGGAAGGATGGGGAAGAAGGATGGGGAAGGAAGGATGGGGAAGGAAGGAAGTAAGGATGGATGGGAAGGATTTCTTCACCATCCTTCCTTCCATTCTTCCCGATCCTTCCTTCCTTCCCCTTCCTTCCCTCCCCATCCTTCCCTCCTTCCCCATCATTCCTTCCCCATCGTTCCTTCCTTCCTCTTCCCCTTCCTTCCTTCCCTTCTCCAAGGCCCCGGAGAGCCGTCCCGTTCTACTTGAAGACTCCCCATCATCCCTCCTTCCCCTTCCTTCCTCCCCAGCCTTCCCCTTCCCCCCCATGCTTCCTCCCACCATCGATCCTTCCGCCTTCCTTGCCTTTCCCCAGGGTTCCCCCCCAACCCTTCCTTCCTTCCTTCCTTCGGCCTTCCCAACCTTCCTTCCAACATGGAACTTCCTTCCCATCCATTCTTCCATCCTTCCTTCCCCACATCCAGGCGGACCCTCCGGCCTTCCCCTTCCAGGCCTCCCTTCCTTCCTTCCCCTCCCCTTCCTTCCCCTTCCCCCCCTTCCTTCCCCCTCCAACCTTCCTTCCTGGAAACCCTCTCTCCTTCCTTCCCCCCACCTCCTTCCTCCTCCCCTCCTCCCCTCCTTCCCCCTCCCTCCTCCCCCCCCTCCTCCCCAACCTCCCTTCCTTCCTTCCCCAACCTCCCTTCCTTCCTTCCCCAACCTCCCTTCCTTCCCCTTCTTTCCTTCCCCAACCTCCCTTCCTTGAAACCTCTTCTAAATCAGCATCCGAGTCCTCACACAACAAATCGTCTTCTGTACCATCCGGTGCATTACTAATGCCACACTTCTTAAATGATTTAACCATCGTTTCTGTTTTCGCAGCATCCTATTAAGCTTTGACCCATTCACAAACTTGTGAAATGCTAACTCCGAATAAACTGAGTATCGATGTATAAGACGCACTGTATAAGACGAGTGAACGATGTATAAGACGAGTGAAAATAGGTCGACGTGTACATGGATACCGCATATGTGCAATTCTTAAAAACGCGGCAAGCAGTTTGTGATTCTGCACTTTCTCCCAATTTCGCACCTAATCTTCATGATTAAGCACTTTTGTTCAAGAAAAGTTCTAGCATAAGCGTAATTCGGCTACTTGGAAAAAAAATGTTGAGTACAACAAAAAACATTCCTTTACTTTGTGAAAACAAAATGGCATCCAAACAAAAACTAGCAGGTTGCTGTAGCAGGGTTCGTCGCCAAAGGTTCGCTAAAAATCGCCAAGTTTCCCAATCGCTATCCAAAGATTAACCAGCTAAACTAATCTTAACTAAAAGATATAGCCGAAGCTATCAAGATTTAGCCCCTTAATGATGAATAACGGCGAAACTATGAAGGGCCTAAAGTACGGCCGAGCGTGATAACAGCTTAAGACAATATAGCCTAAGAAGAAGAACGCGCGCTAGTCAGAATCACTGGTTCTCTCTAACAAAGTCAGCAGCACGGAATAAGAATACTTCTCATTTGCATTCAAACGCGATTCTAAAACTACGTTCTGGCCGGAAGTTGTAAGTTGAAATTCAGGAAGACAGTAAAGGAACTTAAAATTTAACTGTTAGATAAATTAACATAATTCTTGCACCATACGTCCTTTATTTCGTAAAGCGAAGTAAATTTTTTATTATATTTATTAGAGAAGAGCAAATAAGGAAACATTCTTTTGTAACAAACATCAATGAGTCTGTATATTTTCATCGTCGGCACGGGCGCTTAAATGTTCCCTTGCAGAGAAATGTCGCATTTCTCCGTGCATACTGTGAAGAGGAAATGGTTAACGCAATCATTCGCCCAATGGAAGATGTATAGTTCCAATCCCGCCAAGAGCTTAGTTTATATGTCACATATCTTGCTCCGCTGCGCCTTACAAATTACTAAGATCCCAATCTGGATGGTACTTCTTAGACTTAGGTTACGTTAGGTTGTTTGATTAACCCTTTGAAATCCAGACGCTTCACTAACCTGTATCCTCAAAATACCGAACCGCCCGAACTACTTTTCCAGTTTCACAGCAATTTCCTCCCCTCCCCGTTCATTAACGCAGAAAACAGGTGTGAAGATTTCCAATGACATCCTTTGTACTTTCTAACAAATATTCCATTAGCCTTTTACCCCGTTTTTTATAAACCTATTGTCAGACCAACAAGCCTTTCTGGCTTTGTTATGATCACGACTGAGATTTTGCTTACTTCCGTATTTTTATAGGAAGGAATAAATTGATTAAAAATAATCCTTAAATTTTTAAACTGCACTTTTGTTGCTGTTTACAGCTTAAAAACAGCCTGTACCAAAAAAGAATCAACAACGAAATGTCAGGAGCAACCAAAAGATAAGACACATCATAGGACAAGCTGTCTGCAGTAAACTTATACAATGCATTTGGGGAAACTACACCTGCTACTGCATACCTTAGGAAGAGGGAAGAAAACAAGATTGCAATTTCGGCCGTTTTCCGGCGGTTCTGGTTATCTCACTGTAGGGCCGTGTCGGGCGGTATGGATGTGAAACTGTTAAGGGAAAGCAACTCAAGGGCTATCTGCTTATGGGAAGGGATACCTCCGTGGAGGACTTTTTAAGAGAAAATGGCTGAAATGCTTGTTACGCACGGGGAAAATTACGAAAACCAACCATGCAGCCAACCCATTTGAAGAATTCGGTCCCACGTCGAACTACCAGTGTTCAGCGACTTTACCGCTCGACCACTGGTGGGCGGTATTCCGAGGGAGAACAGCCCATTTTCAGAAATAAATCTCATTGAGCGAATGGGGTCACAAACATAATGTACGTATATTGCTTCGATTGTATTTCCTGAAGTTTTGAAGATCGGTTTGTTTGGGTTAGTAGAGAAAAATTACATTACCTACATGAGAAATTTAATTTTCAGATCGTTAACATATGATGTATTCGTATTATTTCTACTGAAGTGCGAATACAAATGGGAACTTTATAGAGAAAGTATCTAACACGAAATTTAACTATTATCTCTGTTGCTGTTTGAAATTTCCAGTCTAAGAATTTTTATCTTATTTTGCACGTCTGGAGGCATTGTTCTGTGATCTATATAAATAAAAAAACAATGACTTTTGCGTAACGTGCTCAAAAAGTAGAAACATTCGTGAAATGCTGTGTAGCATTTTCAAATATTAAACCATTCCTGGTCCTGGGCAAGGGTTATATGAAAATTTCAAACTTCTGAGAGCGATTTAACTTAAAATTCTGTTTGTGATGAGAACAAAATAGAATTTTTATTTTATTTATTTATTTTTTTTTTTAATTTTTATTTTTATATTACTGTATTTCTTCGCATATTTTTTCTCCTTTCTCTAAATACTTTTATTATCGGAAAATCGAGAAGGGAACAATTATGCGAATAGTTTAATTTTGGAAGGACGCGGTTACAGTACGAACATTAGAAGTGAAAATAATCGTAGATAAACTATAGAAAACTGTCACAATATTACTTCTTTAAAACAAACCTACATTCCAGTGATAATACATAGTAATATTAATATAATATCTAATAAGATATTTTCATTTCTATCTCTCTGTAACTCGAATCTCACTCGTTCTTATTGTTGTCTCCGATACTCCTTAGGTCTCATATAATTCACAAATACAGAGAAAGTGAACGCATAGCTGACTCGGCGAAATTATAGACTGAGAGTCAGTTTATGTTTCCACTGCTGTGATAGATCGGTTTTCATATAAAGCTACCAAAAAAATTAATAGTTAGAAGAGAAAGGTTTGGCACGGCCTTCGCAAGTAGTTTGCGACTTTTTTTGTTAAGACAAACAACCACTACTTGGACGAATCCATTTTCAAATTTAGAGGAATTTATCCTCTCAATGCAATGTATAAGACAGATATTACGCGAATATTATTTTAATTTTCAGAACTTAGCGTAAAAAAGCTAGCAAAATTAAGTGAAGAAATACGGTATTTTTTTATTTACTGCGAATATTTAGATATTATTGTAAATATTATATAGTAAGCCTCATTTTCTATTAAAAAATCAAAAAGATATTAAAATGTAAACATTTAAACAAAAATTAAACATATATTAAGTATATAAATTATTAAGTGTTATTTTCTTTCGGCCTTTTATTTTGAAAAATTTTAAAGTTAAATAAAATTCTTGGATTAGAAGATTCAAAATTGGAACTTAAATTTTCCTAGGTCTTATTGCGATTTAAATACTTGTCTTTTAATTTTTATTGTTAATAAATTGTTTATTGTTTTATTGTTAATCCGACGTTTCAAACTTATAGCAATCTTTCCGGTGTATCTTTTAGACTGTAAGGAAATGAAGAAATTCAATGGTGGATAAGGAAATCAAGGAAGGAAATAATTAAGTGACATCATCACATAATCCGTGATTTCATCATCAAAATCAAATTTCTTCGGGTAGATTAATTTTTTCCTGAGTTTTAAAAGATAATTACATTATCTACGTTATTTAAAAGATAACATTTCTAGATAATTATGTGATTTTTTTTAAACTTTCTCAAATACTACCTTTGTGGGTGAATTTTAAAAATAAATAAAGAAAACAAAAATACGCAAATGATTTTAAACATACGGTTACATAAGTTTTATTACACTCTATATTTTAATAAAATATTGTTTTATCCGACGTTATCTTAAAACAAAAAGCAAAAATGGTTTTGAGACACACATTTATCTTAAAATTTTTAGCATTCTGTATTTTAATAAACTGATATTTTATCTGACTTTATCTTAAAACAAAACCCAAAAATGCTTCTGAGACATTCATTTATCTTAAAATTTTATTTTATCTTAAAATTATGTTTCAATAAAACAGTATTTTATCTGTACCATAAAACAAAATGCAAATATGTTTTTGAGACATTTTATCTTAAAATTTTATAATTTTCTTTATTTTAATAAAATAGCGTTTTGTCTGACTTTACGTTAAAACCAAACCAAAAAATATACTTGAAACATACATTTATCTTAAAATTTTTTAACATTCTATATTTTAATAAAAGAATACAACTTTTCTTAAGACAAAAATCAAAATGTTCTTTTGAGACACACATTTATCTTAAAATTTTATAACACTTTATTAAAGTAAATTCGATTTTTTTTCCCGAAAGTGTTTCTTAGAAGCTTCAGCAAGGTGCAAAAATTAAGGCATAATTTCGTCAAAATAAATCAAAATTAAACAAATATATGCTTTTCTTAATATTTTTATAAAGAATAGAAATGGAAAATTTGTTTTTTCATTGGAAATTTGATACCGAATATTCATGCTGTTGCTTATTACTTCAATTAAATACATTAACATTTGTGCATTATAAAAATGGTTAATTTTTCCCCACACTATTTAGCACAATGGGCAGCATACGTAATAAAAATTTAGTATCTTCAGTTCAATGCTTTGGAATTTAAAAAAAAAAAAAAAAAACTGTAATTTTATATTTAGTTGCATTTCAGTAGCTTCTTGCATTTATAATAAATACCTATATGTAGTTTAAAATATTAAACACGAAAGTACGTAATAAGACAACATGAACTGGAGAGACCTAAGTGGTCAAGAATTTTGCGCATTGAGCTGCAAAATTTTTTAATTTAATAAGCAAGAGGAATGTTTAAAAGTTAAAGCTAAAAAAAAATGCGTTTGACACTATAGTTCCTTAACTAAAATGTAAAATCATGTCACAATTAGAGAAACAATATTAAAGTAATAAAAGCTATCTCGTAAAAACTAAGTGTAAAATTCACAAATTGAGATGACTTCAGCTCAAAACTCGAATAAAGCTAATACCTAGTTGAAAATATTTATGC